TTCACTTGTGTGTTGTTTTCATGAGGGGGGAGAGGCCCTCCTTTTATAGGTGGAGAGGAGGGGTGAGGTTCCTTGGAATATACCCTTGATCTCCCCCTATGGAAAGAACAAACCGCCTCCTCAGCAATGAATTTACCGCCATCCCCACTTGAACCGACCAAAGAGAGGCAGTATGAACCGCCTAGAGAAGGTTGGGCCCGAGGCACACTAGCATGGGTGCGGCCGCAGCATGGGTGCGCCCATACCCCTGTTGGGTCACCTTGAGTCCAACTTTGTTAGGGTGTCTTCTTTGATCTTCTAGAGTGGGCCTGTGTTGGTTTTGCGCAGAGATGAGGTAATTTCATTCGGGTTTGTCTTTGTTCTCCTATCGTATGGGCCCTGATGCTTCTGGTGATTGGGCCTCTCTCCCTTGGGCTTGTGTAGAATGGTGTTTATGTTCCATTTCTTTGCACATTCTTAGTCCTTTATGTGTATTTCCACAAATGCCCTCCTGCAAATGGTCAAACACCAAAACTCATGGAATTCGTTAGTTATAAACCCTATCACTAAGTTTGGTGTTCATTTGAGCGGATTTCATGTAAGTGTTGGTGGTTATTTTTAGGAGTTAAGGATCGCCAATAGAAGCGTTGCCACACCTTCCGCACGCCCGAGCCCGGCACCGCTAACTCCGACAGGGCTGGACCTGAACTATTGCAACTTCCTAGCGCAGTACACGTTGGCGGCCGTGCAACTCGGCAAGCTGTCAGAGTCCGACATCGATCGGGCCAAGGCGAAGCGCTCGTAGTGGTATGCCGGTGCCACGCAGCACCAGCAGCAGTAGCTCGTGCTCTTGCGGATGATGGGGTAGTGTAGCGGGACATCGTTGACGCCAATGTTCAGCAGCACAATGAGCCAGAGGACGAGGGTGTAACACCCTAAATTTTGACCTAATTTAAAAATCACTAAAATTTTGAACTTTTTAAAACTTTGCATAGGAACTAATATATACAACTAGCATAGGTGTTGGTTAGTAGAAATAGGTTCACATAGGAATAAACTTAATGTGTGGAATTGTGTGAGTGGATGTTTGCTTGATTAGAACATATGGTGGTACACCCTACATGCATGCATATTCAAATTTGAGTTTAAATGCATTCAAAACAAATGCATAACAAATCTGGGAAATGAAAAAAGAATTGGAAAATGAAAAAGGCCACTTGGGCTCATTTCTCCCTCCCTTCCTTTCTCAGCCCGCAGTAGCAGCAGCCCTCCCTCCTCCTGCAACACCCCGGCTCAGTGCTTAATAGGATTAATAGGATACTCGTACAAACAAGTTGCAACTTCTTTTCTGGAAGCCCATCTCTGAAGAACTCCAAGGTTAAGCGTGCTGGACCTGAAGCGATGGGTGACCGACCGGGAAGTTCTTCCCAGGGGCGCATGAGTGAGGACAAAGTACGCAGAAAAGACTGGTGTTGGTCTGTGAGGGTAGTCTATGTCCTAGGAAAGCTATCAGATGTAAGCGGGCCTGGCCTCGAGGGGGCGGGACGTTACACCTCCCTCTTCCTTCCCCCCACAATGGGCTGGCCCGACGCCGTGACCCGGCCCATCCCACACGCGCCAGAGCCCTCCCCTCTCTTCCACTCACTGACGGACGGGGCCTGCATGTCATCGCCGTCGTCTACCTCTAGACGATGGGAATACCGCGTCATGGCACCCGCCTCGGCCATGCCATGGCCGCGCTTCGCCCACCCAGCATCGAGTGGATAAGATCGACCGTGCTCTTGAGAACCTTCCCGGCCCCACGGACGCTCCTTCCCTCCTCTCTCACTCTCACGGTGGCACCATCGACACGCGGTGCCATGGCTGCTCCCCACCAACACCACCATGGGTAGCCGCCAAGTAACCTCCACTGCGCGCATGGATAAGGCCGCACTGTGGCGAACCGACCTAGCCAATTTGAGCACGAGCGCACGCAATGGCGGTGCGTGCGGCGAGAAAATATCTTGCTGGACGAACCGCCTTTGCCGGCCTATAAATAGGGTCGGTTGGTGATGCTCCGCCCTCGCCCTCCTCACTCTGAGCTCCGCTAGGAGCTGGAACACCTCATCTCCCTCTCCACTTCCCTACTGAGCTAGTCTCATTCTTTCCCAAATCGGGAGCCGCCGTCGCCATTGGAACCGTTTTCCCCTTCTCCTTCTCTGCTATGTCCCGGGCAAATTAGTGAGGCAGGTGAGTCCTAGAGCCTCCCCTTTACCTTCTACTGTAGCTAGATGACCATGAATCACTATGTGTTGCGCTGCCATCATGCACCTCGCTCCGCCGAACCGCCATGGACGACCACCGCCATCGGTAGGGCTCGGCTAAGCACCACACTGTCACCATTGCACTCGCCACTCACCTGCACCCACGTACACATAGCTAAGTAGACTGATTAGGGCCTCTAAGGCCAAGTTCACCGCTCAGCGCCATCGTGTTCCCTCCGGTGAGCCACCACCGCCACCATAGTCGTCCCCCGACACCCAGATCACCACCGACGGCCGCGGCTTTGTCTCCCAAGCCCCATCCACCACCTGCACTAGGGCTCAGCCTCACCGATGTAACCCGCTCTAGTGAACCCGAGCCCTCCCCTGTTTCCCAGCGCCAGGACGGCAACCCGTCTGGCTGCCGTTTCCCCTCTCCCTCTCTCCCCTCGCTGCCATGTGGGACCGGACGGTGACGTTGTTTTATTAATGGCCGTTCCCATCTGTTACCCTCCCCCTCCCCTTTCCTTCCTCTGGCGTGCAGGCCCATGGCCATAACACCATCACCATCGCGGCCCCACCCATCAGCCACACACGCCATGCGCACACACACAGCGTCGGGTGCACTATCTAAAAATGCTAGGTGCACCCGAGTAATGTACACAGAGGGTTAGAAATCTATTTTCCTAACATAGAAAAATTCCTAGAAAATTTATAAATAAACTAGATGCAATGAGGAAATTAATCATGTAGTTTGCATATATTTCCATGCACCAGAAAATGCATACAAAATTCCACCTAGTTAATCGACTATAGGTTAAATTTCTAAAATATATAACTTTTACATCCTAACTCCTTTTCGCATGAAACCACTTCTAAAATTCATCTAAAATCTAGCTCTATGCATTTCACCTGGTACCACCATATTGTTCTATGTTTGCTTTTGCCCTTTTATTTTGGCGGTAGTTACATTCGGTAGCTATGCCCGGCAGACGATAGTGACTACCAGGGGAATGAGGACCCAGACTACGTAGACGTGCCGGAAGGAGACAGCAACGAAGGCAAGTCCTAGCTCCCCTCCCTTCTACCATCTTGCTTTAATTATTATCAAATGCATAAACTTGATTAATTATTATCCTGGAATATAAGCTCGGGTAATATTATATGATTTATGTTGAATTAAGATAAATGGTTATCTTGCTATTTTATGAGATCCATGATATGAATGAACTTAGGGATAATAATTTGTGGTACATAAAATTGGAAAATCTAGAACTAAACCCTGACAGGGGCGAGTGGTGGTAATATATGGAGGTAGATTATCATGGTAGGATCGCCTGGAGAGGGATCCTGTGGGGAGATACTCGCCTCAGTCACATAAGGACCGGTTCATAGTTCCTCTCGCCTAGTGAAATATTACGTATAGCCACATGTCTATATGGGTAGACTTGATCCCACACCCTATTAGATAGAAGTATAGTTTCTACTAGGAGGCCGGTGTTGGCAGCGGAATATCAGGAGCAGGCACGGATGTTATGTGATCTATGGGTGTTGGCGTGGTTGCTATGTGATCCTCCACGTTAAGCCCTTGTATTTTTTGCCGCGTTTGAGCCCATGTTATTGTTTATGTTGGCCATGTTCGAGCCCATTTTATTGTTAATATGATGATTAGGTGTCATCGGCACTGTTATGTTGGGATGAATAGGTATCGTCCGAGATTGTATGATGGGATGATGTGGTACCATCCGGGATTATGAGATGGGACGATTAGGTATCCTCGCAAGATTAGTGTGTTTTCCAACCCCTGAGAAGCCATGGTAGAATTATATGGATATCTAAGGTCGCGTACATTCGGGTACGGGTCTCGTTAGGCCTATTCTGTCCACTGATCACGGAAAGGATTGTGCCTATCATGTAGGGAAATTTGTACACCTCTGCAGTGTTCATTAAATCTATTCGAATAGCCACGTCCTTAGAATGAGCAGATGTTAGGATGGGATACTATGATTAGATTTACTTTTATGTGTAATGAAACTATGTACCAAGACTTCGACGAGGAAGCGTACCACGAGGATTAGGAGTTACGTGAAGGTTTTGATCATAGGAAGAAGACATGGAAGCTAGGGTTTCGACCGCGCTCGAGCTTGCCTGTGGATTAGGATATCGCTACGCTGTATAATACTATCGTACTAGAGACCACCATGATGTAATAAAATGCCGCTTCAAATATGCTCTTCGGGCCACTGTTGTAAGACTCTATCTTTTTTAGATATCAATAAAGCTTCAAACTTTTTATTAAAAATATGTGTGCTATTTCTGTTAAATTGTGTGTACTTGTGCGTGATCTTGGCTCAAGTACAGATGCACCTAGGACTCTCGAAATGAGGGGCCGATAGAGGGCGAGCTAGGCAGCTGGGCCATGGTGGGAAGCTCGATGGCGCGGCGCGGGCGGACTAGGAGGCGTTCGCCTGCTCCATGTACGAGCTCGACGACAGCTTGGCTCCAGCCATGGCGTGGGGACGGGGAGGGGGACGGGGATGCCGCCGGGCAAGCTCGGCTCCAGCCATGGCACGGGGACAGGGACGGAGACGCCGTCGGGCAAGCTTTTTTTTTTAGACCAAAGACCATTGGTCCCGCTTTATATAAAGCAATAGAAGGTTTTGCTGGGGATACCAGCTTTACAAATATCAGGTTCAGAGTGCCCAAGGCACAGCCTTCTAAGCGACAATTCAAACAGACCATCTAAAACAAAGTAAAGCGAACCCTTTAGATCGACAGTTCTTAGCAGACGTGATGACATAAAACAACAAAGATTACATCCCAAAAGAACGCTACACAGAGCGCTAAAGACATTAGCCTTGGCCGCTTTGCTCCAAATGTCTTGATAGTCTTTCCGCCGTCTTCGAAGCCCATCTCTTTTCCGCCCCCTTCAGCAGAATACTCCATTTCTGTGATTTCATTCCTTTTGGCCTTGAGTTTAGAAGCTTGCTCCTGGATGTTGACATTGCTAATCCTCAAACTCTTTCTCTGTGCCTCTGCAGGTTGTTTCTTCACCCTTCTAGCATTCATATCCTCTTGGATTACTTCATCTGTTTCCTCTGTAGCTAAAGCCTTCCCTTCGAACAATTTGGCAATCGTTGCTTCAAAGTCTTCCCCACTATTATCATCTGTTGTCATATTAGTCGTGGTGCCATCTGTGAAGTTCATGTGAGGTTCCAGTGCTCTGATTTTGCCTTCCATCTCCTTTTCCAAAATTTCCATCTCGGCTTTCTCCCGTTCAGTAGGCTCATAATCATAGTCATAGTCCACCAGTTCTTCCTCCAATTCATCAGAGTTCATGTCTGGAACATTGGTCACTTCGACAGATTTCCCATCAGAGTACAACAACAACAACAACAAAGCCTTTAAGTCCCAAACAAGTTGGGGTAGGCTAGAGTTGAAACCCATCAAAAGCAATCAAGGTTCAGGCACGTGAATAGCTGTCTTCCAAGCACTCCTATCTAAGGCTAAGTCTTTGGGTATATTCCATCCTTTCAAGTCTCCTTTTATTGCCTCTATCCAAGTCAACTTCGGTCTTCCTCTGTCTCTTTTCACGTTACTATACTGGCTTAGGATTCCACTACGCACCGGTGCCTCTGGGGGTCTCCGTTGCACATGTCCAAACCATCTCAACCGGTGTTGGACAAGCTTTTCTTCAATTGGCGCTACCCCTAATCTATCACGTATATCATCGTTCCGAACTCGATCCCTTCTTGTATGACCGCAAATCCAACGCAACATACGCATTTCCGCAACACTTAGCTGTTGAACATGTCGTCTTTTCGTAGGCCAACATTCTGCACCATACAACATAGCAGGTCTAATCGTCGTCCTATAAAACTTGCCTTTTAGCTTCTGTGGTACCCTTTTGTCACATAGGACACCAGACGCTTGCCGCCACTTCATCCACCCTGCTTTGATTTTATGGCTAACATCTTCATCAATGTCCCCGTCACTCTGTAGCATTGATCCTAAATATCGAAATGTATCCTTCCTAGGCACTACTTGACCTTCCAAACTAACATCTTCCTCCTCCCGAGTAGTAGTACCGAAGTCACATCTCATATACTCAGTTTTAGTTCTGCTGAGTCTAAAACCTTTGGACTCCAAAGTCTCCCGCCATAACTCCAGTTTCTGATTCACTCCTGTCCGGCTTTCATCAACTAGCACTACATCGTCCGCGAAAAGCATACACTAAGGGATGTCCCCTTGTATGTCCCTTGTGACCTCATCCATCACTAAAGCAAACAAATAAGGGCTCAAAGCTGACCCTTGATGTAGTTCTATCCTAATCGGGAAGTCATCCGTGTCTCCATCACTTGTTCGAACTCTAGTCACAACATTTTTGTACATGTCCTTAATGAGCCCGACATACTTCGTTGGGACTTTATGTTTGTCCAAAGCCCACTACATAATATTCCTTGGTATTTTATCATAAGCCTTCTCCAAGTCAATAAAAACCATGTGTAGGTCCTTCTTCTTCTCCCTATACCGCTTCATAACTTGTCTTATTAAGAAAATAGCTTCCATGGTTAACCTTCCGGGCATGAAACCAAATTGGTTTACAGAGACCCGCATTATTGCTCTCAAGCGATGCTCGATAACTCTCTCCCATAGCTTCATAGTATAGCTCATCAACTTAATTCTCCGATAATTAGTACAACTTTAAATATTCCCTTTATTCTTGTAGATCGGTACCAATATATTTCTCCTCCACTCATCAGGTATCTTGTTCGATCGAAAAATATGGTTGAACAACTTGGTTAGCCATACTATAGTTATATCCCCGAGGCATCTCCACACCTCGATTGGGATACCATTTGATCCCATCGCCTTACCTCATTTCATCCTTTTCAACACCTCTCTGACCTCAAACGCGTTATTGACCTCAGATTTCCCATCAGAGTCTAACATCTTTTCACCCAGACCCCCATTATTCTGTTGTATCTCCTTAGGTTCTGTTGTAGAGTTCAGCAGGGTTGTCTCAACATCATCACTTTCCTGTGGCAGCACCGTATCATCTATTGTGTTTTGGACATTGAGATTATCTGTAACGCTCTGTTGAGTAAGGATTTGATCTCCTCCACCAATTGTATTATTATCATCCTCATTCTGTGTTAGTGATTCTTCAGCAACTCGTTCTACAAATGACTCAACCTCTTTGTTTTGAATTGGGGTATATTTATGTGCAGTATTTTGTACATGCTGAGTAGCATTTCCCTTCTGCTGAGCAGCTGAACCCCTATTAGCCTCTTTAATCACAGCACTCTGTTGGTTGTGTTGAGGTTGCTTGGAGTTGTATTTATCTGGAGCTTCGGCCTCCTCATCCTCTTCTTCATCTGCCTTGTCTCTGTGTCTATCGAATTTTGACCCTTACCAAGCCTTACCATTTAAGAGCAGCCAAATCCACTTCTTCTGGGTCCCCAACAAGGTGAGAAACCTCCATTACAGCCTCAGGTGTCAAAGCGTAATCTGGGAAATTGTAGGCCCTAACCCACACCACCTCTAAGCAGCCATCAGCCCCAGGGTTTAAATCTGTGGACCTCACTTGAGCTTTAACATCTGCAGTCTCAAATTCAAAATTTTTGATTCTAGCAAGTTGATGCCTCTTGTCTTCATCTGGGAAAATGATGAGAAACTCTTTGTCAGAACTAAGCCTGCTGATCTCCCACTCAATCTTCTCTCTAAAAAGAGCTCCAAGTTCTGTTCTGATCTCTATATTGGCAGAACCATTCAGAATAGTCATTACTCCTCTTGCTCCCTTCTTGGGGCCAGTTTTGTTGTTTGGAAGTCTGATACTATAGAAACCCTGTCCAGGTAGCCCGAAACCACACACCCAAGACCTATTTTCTCAGGACACACACTGCTTTTGTGGCCAGTCTTCTTACAACAGTAGCAATATGGAGGATTCTGACAGTCTTTCTGATAATGGCGCGGGGACGGGGACGCCGCCGGGCAAGCTCGGCTCCGGCCATGGCACGGGCGAGCTTGGTCTCGAAGAGGGCGGCCATCCACGGCAAGGGTGGGCTCCGGCCATGGCGCGATCGAGGAGACGGGACGAGGACACCGCCGGGGACGACGGCGTAGTCCGCCGCTCCGCTCACGCGCAGTCTGCCGCGGGCGAGCCTGCTCTAACGGAAAGGACGCAGGGACTTAACGTCGTACATGTCTATGTATCTGACAATGGATCCATATACGGAAGAAGTGTAGAAAATGGCATGAATAGGTGAGACATGGAATTATAATGGCAGTTCTTCAAATAGACGAATTGTAATAGTATATCTCTAATCTTGTAAAATTGTAATGGCGTGAATAAAAAAAAAACTAATTCTATGGTCAAGCTCTACCACTGGCCATGAGCATGACAAAGCATGTTCTCCTTGCTCTCTCTCTCAGGTCGCAGCCACTGACACATTAGTGTAATAGTGTCAGTCAATGCAAGTGTGCCACGCTTGCTGTGCTGCACCATAAACAATGACAAATTAGGCCCTGTTCTTTTCGCTGAAATTTGACTTATGCTACTGTTTATACTAAAATGTTGTGAGAGAAAAATATTGTTCATTCACTGTAGGTACCGCTGAAGTAGTGCTGCAGAACAAGACGTAAGATTGATGCCCTTGCGCTGTCGTTGGCCAACTAAACAAAGACAAATTACGATCACACAATTCAAATTTCTAAGAATCTGTTGCAATCCATATTGTTGCTGATGTTTCTTTTTCTGTAGCCAGAAAATCCAGCTGCACTGCAGCAGCATTGTTTTTGCCCTGCCAGAGAGGACCACGCCAACCGGGTCTTCTCAGATTTGGCAGCAGCTTAAACAACAGTACCAAATCGTACATCCAGGATACAAAAAGCACACATACACAGTAACAGATAAACAACGCACACATACAAAATGCAGACAATGAAAAAGATGAATCAGACAAATAGAAAGCAGCATGTAACAACAATTAAACTTGAAAGCAAACATATCACAATATTCATATGTAGTTAAAACTTTGTTAAGATGAACCACATAACTCAGGTTAGTCCATTCCAATCCAGGTTTCTCAAAAACCTTCAGAAGCAGGGCACATTGCTGGAACCAATTCAAGACTCTGGGAGGTATCCAGCTACTATTGCAGTAGTAAGAATGTATACGATATCTACACCATTATTGGCGGAGAAGACAGAACATCAATTTCTATTCTGCAGACAGACCACAGAGAAAGTCTGCTAATTCAATCCTATTAGAAAAGTAATGTTGCATCTGTTGGTAAGTTCAAGTGTTCCGAGCTACCATCATCATGAAGACCTGCACACATATCAAAATCAGAAGAGTGGCTGAATAAAATGGACTAGAAAGCAGCATGGCAACAATCAAAATCCACCACTAAGAGATCACCACAATCGTATCCAGATGCATCAGTAATCTTATTCTTAGCTAATGCACTTGGTCCATTCAGTTTGTCAAAAGGCCATGTAAAAAATGCATTATTATTGACAACAAACTCATTCCAGACATAATATTATTCAGTCCATTTTCAGAGACACGTAAACATACACTTCATTTCTATAGAAACAAAACAACAAACAACAATAGCTAAAAATATTCAGACACACTTATCAACACCACAATCTGGATATCGATAAATGGTTCTGTATCTTCTAGCAATAGTGTGCCCTTCTCAGCACCTAAATCGTGATCACTGTCAAAACCAACGGCATAAATAGTAAAATCATTTCTAATTCCAATGTTCTATTACTTAAAAGAAGAAATAGAATAAAAAGTGTCATGTTAGTGTTCTTGTTATGTCAAATAGTCTTGATTCCTGCAGTTAAAAATTGGCTCACCTGTGTTTATGGACCGTAAGGCAATGATAGTAAAATCATGTTTCTGCAGGAATTGAGGGATATTTGTGCTGCCTGCCAAGGACCTTGGGTGATGCTTGGAGATTTTAATCGCATCTACAAAGATGAGGATAAGAACAATAGTAACCTAAACCGTGCCATGATGGGAAGATTTAGAAGGCTGATCAATGATTTGTCCTTAAAAGAAATACCTCTTCATGGACACAAATTCACATGGTCTAATCTGCAAGACTCACCAACACTGGTTAAGCTGGATAGAGTCCTATGTTCTGTTGATTGGGAACAGCTCTTCTCGGACTATCTCCTGCAAAGTGTTGCATCGGAAGATTCTGATCATTGTCCTCTGATCCTTGGGTTAACAGATCGTAAAGCTGTGAAACCTAGATTCCACTTTGAACCTTTTTGGCCCAAACAGGATGATTTTCAGGGCGTAGTTGAGACGGCTTGGAATTCTGTTCCTGCTGTTTCCTGCCCCTTTGAGACCCTGTCAAGGAATTCAAAGCGACAGCCAAGGGGCTGCAGAGTTGGAGTCAAAGCAAGATTGGGCACATCAACAGTCAGCTAGGGTTAGCAAGAGAGATCTTACATATACTGGAGATTGCCCAGGATAACAGAGATCTGTCACCTAGCGAGAGGTGGCTGTGTAAAAAAAAGGGCAGACCCAGTCATAGTTTTTACGGCGGCGTGGCGAGGCGCGGCGACCCACCACCTTCACACCTTTACAGCGTCTATGGCGCGCGGCGTGGCGACGCCATACACACATCGGCGTGGCGAATACATACATTATAGTCTAGGATATTAGGAAATTATATTGACAAATGGTAATGCAAATGTAGCTTAAAAGGTATAGTCTACAATATTAGCAAATCAAAATAGCAATGTAAATGTAGCACAAAAGACATAGAACTCTCTCATCTCTCAAACTTCCAAATCTCTCATCTCTCAAAAGTCGTCCAATGCAAACTCATCGAGATCGTTAGAAGCATCCACGTTCTCTCCACCATCTTCAGTAGCACCCATTGGTTGTTCACCAAAATCATCTATATCATCATCATCCAAAATGATCTCTTCTTCCTCTCCCTCTTCCTCATCTTCTTCAACCACTCTTGATATATGCCTTGCACGATGAGCGTAGGTCCTAGGAAGATTACGACCTCGAAGCTCACGTGATGCACCAATGGCTTCATCAACTTGATCCCATGTGAGGTCCGAACCACGAGCACCTTCAGGTTGGGCCATTGGGTCTACCCATTCATTGTTCCAATCAAAATCTTCTATAACCAAAGGGTCATAGCTTTTACCCGCTTCCTCGCGGCGCTTTCGGAACCTACTAGTCATTTTCCGATTATAGGAAACATAAACCAAATCATTCAATCTTTTATGCTCCAGCCGGTTTCTCTTCTTAGTATGAATCTACAATTGATCATAAAGCAAGCAAAGTTAATAAAATATGCTTTAACCGGTTTCATTCAATTGAATTATGGAACTTGAGTACTTTACTTACAAATTCAAAAGTGCTCCAATTACGCTCACAACCGGATGATGAAGCACAAAGACTAACAATACGCTTTGCAAATCTTTATAGGTCAATGGATCGGCCACCATACGTACGCCACCAATCAACTAAATTAACAATACACATTCATATATTAGGATTTAAGCCTTAAATAACATGCAGCAATTAAATTTTTAAATCACTTACGAGGGTTCTTTGACTTCATGGTTTGGAGGGCCATACAATTCTTGAAGATATCTCCACGTTGATCTTCATAGAGCATGGATTGTTGATCAATTTTGTTTCGAATGCTCTCATCTTCCACCATTCGTGCAAGCACATCATTGAAACAACCCCTTAGATGACCAACATATTCATCATTCTCCTTTTGGATGGTATAGAATTTTCCTGGGTTCAAAAAGAGGGCAGCGCCATAGAGTGGGGTATCCATTTGCCTATCCCAACGGCTCTCAATAATTTGTATGATCTTGTTGAGCAAGCTTCTCTTGTTTTCAGTAGAGAAGCTAGCCTTGATCTTCTCTTTTGCATGATTCATGAGAGCAGCAACCTCTGGCATGGCAGGCCTCTCATTACCATCAACCACCCTCAACACAATGATAAGTGGTAGAGAAGCTCTAAGGCAATCCTCAACGGAGTTCCAAAACTCCCTAGAAAGCACAATATCATACACTTTTTTCCCGGCCTCTGTCTTTACTAGTTTGCAACCAGTCCAATCCTCGGAGGCAAATAGAAATCTTAATGCATCTTTGTGCTTGTACAAACTCTGCAAGGTGAGGAATGTGGTAGCAAACCGAGTGGCTGCGGGTCTCACAAGATCCCTCCCATTTGTCTTCTCCCTCATTGCACTAAGAAGTCTTCCATGTCTATAGATGAAGGCTTCTTAAATTCCTTCAGCTTCCCTACGTCTTCCAACATAAGGTCTAAGCAATGTGCAGCACAAGGAGTCCAATAAAGTGTAGGAAACCTCTCCATGAGAAGCTTGCCCGTTGCTTTATAGTTAGCTCCATTATCAGTGACAACTTGCACAACTTTATCTACTCTAATGTCCATGATTTTCTTCTCTAACAAATCAGCTAACATCACCTGATCATGAACTTCACTTGATGCATCAACTAACTCCAAGAAGAAAGTCCCCTCTGGACTATTGACTAGAAAGTTGATCAAATGATGCCCCCTCCTATCCGTCCATCCATCTGACATCAATGTGCAGCCATATTGTTTCCATGCATCCTCATGTTTCTTCCTCAAATCATCTGTCTCCTTTACAACCTTTTGGAGCAATGGCTCCCTAAGCTCATGGTAGGTAGGAGGCTTATACCCAGAACCGTACTGTGCAGTGGCCTCTATAGCAATCTCAAACTGCCTAGAATTTACGGCATTGAATGGTATGCCACACTCATAAAAGAACCTGGCCCACTCTAAGTTGACAGCTTCTCTTTCTTCCTTTGTCCTCATGCTAGCTTGAATACTGATTTGAGAAGGACCCTTTGAGTGTCTTTCTTCCACAACCTCTGTTGGAGTTCTCCGAAGCATTGAACCAACTGACTTGGTGCTGGGCTCTTTTGGAGCACTGAACTTCAATGTGGATTGTTTCCTTTTGGCAGCTGTCCCTGAACTAGGATGCACAATGCTTCTAGCAACATCTTGGGACTCCTCTATCAAAACAATCACATCATCTTCCCCTTGTTGCTCTCCTTCTTCATCATCAAGGACGAGTGGTCTCTTCTTCTTCTTCATAGCATCTTGCATCTCTCGTGCAATAGTTGTTGTGGTTTTGACACATTTCTGAACATCTCCATAACCACCCACAAGATGCTCCTTGAGCCTTGTAATTCCTCCAGTTATTCTTCTATCACATAAGCAACACTGCACAACATCTCTATTGCCAATGGTTGGCCAAAATCCATATTTCCACCCAGGATCATTTGACTTTGCCGGCTTCCGCTTTGGATCAGTCTTTGGATCAATATTTGATGCCGCGTCCGAGGCCTCTGCGCTTCCAGTCCCTTGAGTAGCCATGTTCTGTACTTCTGTCCAAAAAAAAGAAGAGCGTGAGGCACAGAGAGAACAGAGGAACAGAGAGAAGAGGAACAGAGGCAGTGAGGCACTTCAACTCACCAGTCACCACTTCACGTCTTCACTCTTCACCAGAACGGCGGGCGGCAGGGTGGGGGAACAGAGGGCGGCGGCTCGGGCTCGGATCGGAGGCGGCTCCAGGCGGGGGAACAGAGGAATAGAGGCCACGGATCGGGAGGGCGGGGGAGGCCGACGGACGGCGACCGACGGAGGGCGAGCGAGGCCGACCCCAGGCGGCGGCGGCTTAGGCTCGGGCTCGGGCCGGCTGAGGGTGGGCGAGGAGATTGCGGCGGCGGGGCGGGGAGATTGCGGTGGGGGCGGGGCGGGGAGATTGCGGCGGCTCGGGCTGATTGCAGGCGGGGCGTTTCCAGGCGGGGCTGATTGTGGGCGGGGCGGTTTGTCTATTTGCTCTCGGGCCCAGCTGTACCGGTGTACCCTAGACTCGGCGTGTATGGGGCCCGCCACAGCGCACTACGGCGCCACAGGACGCCGTATCGGCGCCACAGGGACGCCACAGCGCTATGGCGGACGCCATACACGCCGGAGCCGTGGCGTCGCCGTGGCGAGAGCCACAAAACCACCACGGCGATATGGCGATGCCACAATAACTATGGACCCAGTGCCGGAGGCTCCCACATGAGTGGGGTTTGGGGAAGGGATAAACCGAGACAAGCCTTTCCCCGTAAAATCTACGGAGAGGCTGCTTCGAACCCACGACCTGGTGACTCGGTGAGACAGCTCTCACCACCTAGCGAGAGGTGGCTGTGTAATCAATTAAAAAACATTCCTTGGCTTTATCCTTACTACAACAAACAATTGCAAGATGTCACTCTTGGATTAATTGCCTTAGTGATGGTGATGCCAACACTGCCCTATTTCACCTCCATGCCTACCATCGTAAGAACAAGAATTTCATTGCTCAGTTGATTCAAGAGGACCAAGTGATTACAGATCATGATGGCAAGGCAGCAGCAATTTATAACTCCTACAATGGTCTGATTGGGACAAGTGTGGATAGAGACCGGACAATTAATCTTGATGAGCTACAGATCACAGGCCATGAGCTTGGACAACTTGATGCTCCTTTTTCTGAGGATGAGGTTGATAGGACTTGATGCCCTACCGAAGTTGTTGCGAAGGTTGTAGGGATGGAAGAGCGGAGGGCGAGGCTTAGGGAAGCGGTGGTGGGTTGGCGCCGTGGTGATCACAGCGCAAGGAGGAAGAGGAGGTGCGGCTAGGGCTCCCAAGGGAAGCCGGCAACAATTATGTTGCTTCTGCTTAATTCCAATCTCAATTGTTTACAGAGTCTTTATCCTCTCTAGGATCATATAATTAAGGAATAAATACCATAAATAGCTAATAATAATAATATGGGCTCTTAGCCCGTATAGTCGGCGTCCTCCTCTAGCCACTAATGGGCCTGCACCTATTATAGTAGACGCCGGTCATAACATCTCTCCCCGCCTGCGCAAACAGCTCGTCCTCGAGCTGAAAGTCGGGGTAGAGGCCTTTGAAGTCGTCGAGGAGCTCCCAGGTGGCTTCGTCGCTGGGCAGTCCACGCCATTGGATGAGGACGTGCCAAGCGCCCCGCCGGAGTTGAGCTCGGAGAGCGCGCTCAGGAGCAGGAAGGAGCCGACCATCCAGCAGCGGCGGTAGAGCAGCAGGCACGGCCGGAGGATCCCCCTTGTGAGGCTTGAGCAAGCCCACATGGAAGACGTCATGCAGTTGAGCGCCGGCCAGAAGCTGTAGCTGGTAGGCAACCCTACCAATGCGCTCCAGCAGTTGGAATGGCCCAGCGTAACGAGGGCCAAGCTTCCCTTTGGCCCGGGGCTCCAAAGACTGCGTGGTCCGATGAAGTAGGCGTAGCCAAACCCAATCGCCCATAGCAAACTCCAGGTCACGGTGGCCGGCGTCGTAGTACTTCTTGGACAGCTGTTGCGCCTGAAGGAGGCGCTGTTGGACCTCAGCCAACACCTTATCACGGCTGCGGAGCAAGGCATCAGCCGTGTCAGTCCGCGCCGACCCCGGCTTGTATGGTAGTATTGGCAGGGGCGGTCGGTCGTAGACCACTTCGAACGGGGTGGCACGCAGGGCGGTATGGAAGAAGGTGTGGTAGCAATACTCCGCCCAAGGCAACCAGTCCACCCACGCCCGCGGCCGATCACCTGTAACACAACGTAAATACATCGCAATCACCTTGTTGACCACCTCAGACTGCCCGTCCATCTGAGGGTGGAAGCCCATGCTCATGAGCAAGGTGACACCTACCATCTTGAAGAGGTCGCGCCACACGTGACCAGTGAACACGGGGTCCCTGTCGCTGACGATGGAAGAAGGGAACCCATGCAATCGAACGATGCCGTCGAAGAAAGCACGGGCGACGGAGGCGGCAGTGTAGGGTGACCCAAGGCGATGAAATGCGCATACTTGGAGAAGCGGTTGACCACTGTGAGAATGACGGATTTGCCGCTGACCTTGGGTAGCCCCTCAATGAAGTCCATGGAGATATCCGCCCACACCTAGGACGGTACTTTGAGGGGCTGCAACAGGCCGGCGGGCTGTAGCGACTCTGTCTTGTTCCACTGGCACGTGCTGCACGCCCACACCCAATCCTAGACAAGGGCGCGGTCACCTGGAATGTAGAAGTCGATGTGCAGGCGGTACAGAGTCTTCTGGACTCCCTCATGGCCCACCGAATGAGCCAAGAGGAGGACTTGGTGGCGCAGGTCGTCATGGTCAGGGACGAAGATGTGGGACCCGTGGAGAAGAAGACCGCCATCGAAGTGACATGGTGCCGGCAGCTCACAAGCCTGCAAGCGCTGGCAGAGCTGCTGGGCGTCCGCAGCTGCTGTTGTAGCCCAGCGAATGTCATCAAAGAGGACGAACGTCGGCCCAGAGAGGGCATGAGCAGCAAGAACAGGAGTTGTACCCTCCTCCATGCCGCGGCGGGACAGCGCATCCGCCACGATGTTCAGGCGGCCAGGGCGATACTCCACAGCAAAATCAAAGCCAAATAACTTGCTGATCCACTGATGTTGAGGTACAGTTGAGAGATGTTGGTCCAGCAGGAACTTGAGGTTGTAGTGATCTGTATGAACAAGAAAATGATGCCCCCATAGGTATGGTCTCCAGTGACATACAGCCTGAACCAGCTCAATCAGCTCACGCTCATATGCGGCGAGCTTGAGATGGCGAGCAACGAAGGGCCGGCTGAAGAAAGCGAGGGGTCCGGCGTCTTGGTGGAGAACAGCGCCTACCCCGCGCCTGACGCGTCACAGTCCACCACAAACTGCTTGTCGAAGTCGGGCATTTGGAGGACGGGTCCCGTGGATAGGTCACCCTTGAGTGCCTGAAACGCCGCGTCCGCCTCGTCATCCCAAGCGAATGCATCCTTCCACAGGAGGCGCGTCAGTAGCGCAGCGATGAGGCCGAAGTCGCGGATGAACTTCTGGTATTAGCTGATGAGGCCCAAGAAGCCCCGCAGCCCATGGGCAGAGCGAGGGGCCGGCCACGAGGTGACCATAGCCACCTTGTCGGCGTCCATAGCGACACCGCTTGCTGATATCACGCGGCCAAGGTAGGCCACCGACGACGCCCCAAAAGAACACTTGGAGCGCTTGAGGTGGAGCTGGTGCGCCCGAAGTGCTTGGAGGATGATGCTGAGGTGCTGTAGGTGTTCGGCCCAGGAGGCGTTATATATGAGTATGTCGTCGAAAAACGCAAGCACAAACCTGCGCAAAAAGGGGCGAAGCACGTCGTTCATCAAAGCCTGGAAAGTCGCCTATGCATTGGAAAGGCCGAACGGCATGACCAGGAACTCAAAATGGCCATGGTGAGTGCAGAACGCCATCTTGGCGATGTCATCGGGGTGCATCCGCACTTGGTGGTAGCCCGAGCGCAAATCGAGCTTGGTGAAGAAGCGAGCCCCGTGAAGCTCGTCGAGAAGCTCATCGACGACCGGAATCGGTAATTTGTCCTTGGACGTCTTGGCGTTGAGGGCCCGGTAGTCGACGCAAAAACGCCAGGAGTTGTCCGCCTTGCGCACCAGCAGCACGGGGGTGGAGAACAGGGACGTGCATGGCCGGATGATGCCTTGGGCGAGCATAGCAGCACACTAACGCTCCAACTCGTCCTTCTGCAGCTGGGGGTAGCGATAGGGGCGAACGACGACCGGAGCTGTACCCGGTAGCAAGTGGATGCGGTGATCATATGGCTGCATTGGAGGGAGGCCCTGTGGCTCGGCGAAGACCGGCTCAAACTGCTCTAGGAGTCAGTCCAATAGTGGCTGGGTGGGGGCAGCGGCGATCGCCCACGCGGCCGGTTCCTGGATGTCGTCGCGGGGGGACCCCAGGCCCTTCCACAGAATGCACTGGGCGCCCCGTGTGAAAGCCATGCACAAATCCTCAAAATCTCAGAGGATAGGGCTTAGGGTACGTAGGAACTCGATGCCAAGAATAAGATCAAACCCACCCAGGCTGAAGCCATAGCAGCTGATGGTGAACTCCTCTGTACCAATGGCCAGGGCCACATCCCGGGCGACGCCTTCGCAAGGCACACGATCGCCGTTGGCCACCAGTACCCGCATGGTATGGTGCGGTGCTGTAGAGAGGTGTAGGCGGCGCAGGAGATCAGCCTTGATGAAGTTGTGCGTCGAGCCAGAGTCGAGGAGCGCCACAAGCCGGTGGCCATGTACGGAGACTGGAAGGAGCATAGCATTCTCGGTCCGGATGCCGGCAATGTGAAAGGTCCTAATGGCTAGAGGGGGGGTGAATAGCCTAATAAAATTCTACAACAACACTTAACAAAATGTGTTAGACAATTTTGCGGCGAAGCGAGTGTTGCGCTAGCCTACTAAAATGCAAGCAACCTACCACAATTCTATTTCGAATAGTGTATGTCCACACAATAGCTATGACACTTAGCTAAATTAGTGTGCTCTCAAA